CTCCTCCAATAGCAGTTGTCATCTCTCTTCTTGTTTATTTTCTTTCTCCTCCAATAGCAGTTGTAATCTCTCTTCTTGTTTATTTTCTTTCTCCTCCAATAGCAGTTGTAATCTCTCTTCTTGTTTATTTTCTTTCTTCTCCAATAGCTGTTGTAATCTCTCTTCTTGTTTATTTTCTTTCTCCTCCTATAGCTGTTGTAATCTCTCTTCTTGTTTATTTTGCTGTTCGAGCTGCCACTGTTGCAGGTTTTCTTGCAACTGCTGTAATCTCTCTTCTTGTTTCTTTTCTTGTTTATTCTCTCGTTCTTCTTGTTTCTTTTCTTTTTCCTCCAAAAACTGCTGTAATTTCTCTTCTTGTTTCTCTTCTCGTTCTTCTTGTTTCTTTTCTTTTTCCTCTAACAACTGCTGTAATTTCTCTTCGTTTCTTTTCTTTTTCCTCCAAGAACTGCTGTAATTTCTCTTCTTGTTTCTTTTGCTGTTCTTGTATTGCTGCCATCAAGTCTGCTTTGCTGTAGTTTGATTTGCCGCTTCTCGTTTCCATTTTTTATCCCACTTCTGACACCAATTTGTTACGCCTCCAGTCGTTAATTAATTTTCCGTAACTTCGTTCCGACAAAAATTTAGCGACACAAGTCCTTTCTTAATAAAACTGGTTTATTCTTTCCGAATACAACTTTACCGATACACTTAATTTGAACAGTCGCTCTATAACAAACGCTAGAACGTCTCAACTTCAACAATACTCTCTGACTGCAGTTCAATTACTCACTACCTACACTGTTCCCGTCACGTTGTGACCATCTTATATATACCAGAATACCCCAATCTAGTAAATGCTAGGGCATTCACGATGGAACAGGATATTTCTAGAAAGCAGGTGGCGTGACACTAGTCACGTGACCTCGCTGACGCAACAGTAGTATAATTTTAACTCAAGACAAGTAATTTCTAAAAAACTTAATTATTTTTATATTTCATTGTATAATTATTTTATAACTAGATGAATTACTGTTCCCTGCACAGGTGTCCAAGTTACTTGAAATAAGTATTTAAAAACACACAATGAAATTACTTTTAAGAACATTTATTTTAAAAATTCAAGTTTCATAACATTTTAATTTTTATCTAAGCCTTTGATTTACAAAACAAAAATTATACAATCTAAATTAAGCTTCTTGATATACCACACTGGCTGATGTTCCTTCTTCTGACAATATAAACAGGTTTTGATGAGATTCAACATTATTGGTGAAATAATCTTTAATTTTTAAGAATGTGTCCTGGCATCCCTGGTGGTTTCAGGAGAATTTAGGAATTCAGTTGGTAATTTACAGCACCAACTGTAACCTAAACACTGACAGTTGATCTATATGAAGCATCAAAGAACAACAACAGTTAGCAATAACTATAACACTGGCAACTACTGCCATTTGTTGATTAATATCACTTGATTGCTTCTGTAGTCTCAACTTGATGTTAAGATATTTTAGAGAAAGTGTGTGAAACTACTGGTTTGGATATTCTTCATATATAGAGGGGTTTTAAAAAGTATATATTTTCTTGGTTCACAATATTTTTTCAATATCTGACTAAGAAGTACCATAGTATATTTATATTCATTACTTTTTTTGAGTAATTCCCCAAAACTATTATTCTAATTGTATTTGATGATTTTTCTTGGTTTCTTTCTTTGATCAGCTCAGAACGTAACTATTCATGGATTGGTGACTTTCAACTTGCTATTACATTTGTTACATCCTTGGTAGAGTATTATCTGTAATAGGTTGTCTTTCTCATCACGTTGTGAAAAGGCAATTAATTAAATAATTTACCTTTTTACATAGGCATTAAGCTTCTTAAAGTCACAATTCTTCTAGAAAATATTTGTTTTGGCTCCACAACACCGAAACCAGTAACATTGGTTTGGGTATGTGTGTGTGTGTGTGTACAATTTTCATGCTAAGAATCCAATTACATCTTTCAGTTTTTGTATTTCATTTGCATAACCTCTAGAACCTCCTAAATGAATATTGAAATGAAGTTGAAAAATATGAAACAAAATGAATATTACCATTTTTTTCTAGAATGACGGCAGATTGTAATAGAAAATTACAATTGTTTATCCTAACAGCCTCAGTTTCTAACCTTTTCACATCTGCTTTTTCTTTTAATTTTGTGGTTTTATTATTATACTTTTGAAATCTCTCTCTCTGTGAAAAGTAATAAATCCTGCCATGATATTTTTGGTATAGATAAAGGTAAATTAAATGATAAAATTACATCTATGTGCATACCATGAGCCTAATTTATAGATTAATTAAGCTCATCAGATTTAAAATTTTATCTAAGTTTTGTTACTTAAGGATTTGATTTTTACATTTTAGTTACTTTTATTACAGAATATACATAAAATCAAGAAATTCAGCATTTATGTCCGACTTCTGGCCTTCTGCAATCCATGCCATAGCCTTACTTTTCTTTCTCACCTATTTGTTTAAATAAAATTTATGTAGCTTTCAAATATACATTTTAGAACATAAGCATTGATTTCTAGTTTTCAGGTGTGTTTGGAAGCACTTGTTAATAGTACAAACAGAGGTGTACTCATCATCACAATGGCTATTTTGGGTTAGAAGGCTCTCTTTTCTAACCAAAGTCCTTACTTTGAGGATTAAGTTATTGCTCTGGATTGACTTGGGGTTTGGTTTTGGAACACATTCCTGACCCAAGTGCTCTGCTTTGAGAGATTTTCCATTTCCTTGAAATAACTGATGACCTTTTACTGTATGCCATTTAGCAATCTTGCTACAAGTATCCTTCCTTCAGCCAGAAGTCTGTCTATGGTGGCATTGCACATCAGGGGCATCATTTGGAAGAGGTTGACAAGAGCAGCCACTCCCTCAAGCTTTGAAGGATACCCCAAATATCAGTTTCCATGAGACATTTCTAGTGAGACTGTAATTGGAGGGCCTATGTGAGGTAAGTCTTCTTTTCCCTTCATCCCTCTCAAGCTTTTCGTGAAAAATTTGTCCAACCCTACTCAACATTACATTTCTTTATAATGAGTAAAACATATCTTCAACTATATTTACCACTAATTTTTTATAGTAAGTGAACAATACCTCCAACTATACTCACCATTATATTTATTTATGAAGAGTAAGGAACCTAAACAGTGGTTTCTGTGAGAGATTTCTAGTTGGGCCAGATTCACACACATATATATATAAATTATACACTTTACCCCCTCCTCCAAGCCTTTTGTGAAATGATGCCCCTATTGAATATTTGAGAACTGACTATGAATTAAACATGTAAGTGCAAAACACCACTGTGTTAGTTTGTACAAATTATTATTATTATACAGTGCACTTACGCTATATACAACATTGTATACATTTGTTTAAAAATCAGTGTTTATTGACAGTGCCAAATAATATACAGAGGTGTCCTCAAACAATAAATGACTATGATGATATATTCTAATGAGCTAAATGTTCTTGATAACTTCCTCTAATTCTTCTGTAGTAAACATGTGGTACCCTTTACTGGGTGTTACTATGGCAACCTAATAATGAAGAGAAGTGAAAAAAATGTGATAAACTTATGAAAGTAATACATACAAAATAACCAGTTCATTGAATGGTATGCAGTGATTTAGAACTCACTGGATACAAAAATTAGAAAAAAGCAAATTAAAAGTCAAATTTGACATTAAAAGAGAATTACAATTATAATTAACAGGTTTTTATTTCTGAAGGGAAAGCTTATCATTTGCATTAATATCAAGATATTTTGACCTGTAAACATACATCTGGTTATAATGGTTTCTTTTCTTAACCAAGGATTTCAAAAATTAAATTACTATTTGATGTACAGATATAATCAGAAGAATAATGAAACTATCCATTAAGTCTGATTCTGATGAGTATACTGGAATGGATGGGAACTACATGTTGTAAAAACACAAGTGGAGAGGACAACATTTTGAAAGTCCTGAAGACAGAAAACTTTCAAAATGTTATCCTCTACACTTGTTTATGTTTTTTACAACAGGCAGTCCTTGTCCATTCCAGTATACTCATCGTGAATACTCTCCATAAATAATCTATCAAAGAAAGTTTGATTCTGGTTTGTAGGCCATAATGGCCAGAGATTCTTGAACTCTTAAGAGTTTGTTCATCACAAGCATACAGCAGAATATCAAACTAGTCTGTTAGAACAGTGGAATCACGTTCGACTTGAGCATTCCTGAATACAAGAGTTGTTGTAATTAGAGAAAGACACATGTTTAGAAATTTTCTGTTGAGGTTATCCTGAACTGGCTCTATAGTAGCTTCCGAACAATTGGTGAAGGTAACCTGCTTACTCAGAACTTCTTTTCTGAAACTCCTCACTTGCACTTCTTGTAATAGTATCTGACAAACTATAGAGATTCTTCTTCTTGCATGTTTCTGTCACTATTTTTCTGGACTTCAGCAATGGATTTAGAACAACAGCCTTGTTTTCTTAAGGGTTTCTTTCTGACTTTCATTAATTTTCTGGTGCTTGAAATCTTGCCTTGGAAAATTGCTGTCTGAATTTTTTTCTTATTCTTGCTTTACTTCTTCTTAGCCAAGTTCTTTTGATTGGACTTGTGGGCACTGTGGCCTGGCACCTGGAAAGATGTTGTTACTGAACTGTGTTGAGAATAACTGGATGTGAATTTGTCTTTTGTATGATTATAATGAATAACATCTTTGCCATTGCTTCCATAATCCATACCAACAACACAAAATCATTTTTCAAGAATTGACATTTTTTTCTGTACCCACTGTCATATAGCCTATTGAGTGAATACCTTTCTTTGTAGCATTGCCAATCCCATTACTTTACAATGAGAGTCATGTCATCTCCACAATAAAATGTCCATCACACAGCCATGCAGTCTACAAGAATGTGAGTATAAAAGAGGGCAATAAATGACATTTGCCATCTTGTGGTGCACAATAAGACTAAAAAAACTTGTTTTATACTGTTTAAATGTGGTTATACAAGAAGCTACTTTCTCAATTTTTTACAGTTCCTCCAAAATGGAAAAATCATCTATTCAAAGAAAACTCCTGCTCCTGTCCAACAGACCAGTTTGATGCTCTATTGTGTGCTTCTAATAAGTGAACTTTTCATAGTCCAAGAATCTCTAGCCATTAAGGCCTATAAACCAGAACTGAACTTGGTGAATAGTTCCATTTATCTTCTAACAATTTAAAATGTAGTTAATCTGTCAACTCCTTGTTTTTATTTTTAAATAGAAATAATTAGGTTGAACTAATTTGAACATAAAATGGAAAGTTGACCAATAGCTCTTGATTTTGCTACTTACTTTCCCAACACTATTTTTAATTACAAAGCTGAGAATAGAGCAAAGAATATAAAAACCAGTCCCATTTATTTCATTTCAAACAAAACCCTAACCTTCAATGTTTCGTCAAACTTTCTATTTTTTTTCTGCATAAATCTGATACTTCAAAACTTGAGATTTAAAAGTTAAGTCTACATGCAATCAAAACCTCCAAGAAAATACAAGTAATGATTTATTTTACTTTTAAGATTTGAAATGTAAAAGTAAAATCTACCCGCACTTAAACTACCAGGAAAATGTAAGTAATGATTTATTTCCAAATCAACTAAATGTGAAATTGATCTATAATTAGTTTATTTGGGTAGTAGTAAGGAATTTTATCAAAATATTTGCTCAATAATTGAACAATGTTCATCTACCTTTTTTTTTTAATACTAAGACAAAAGACCTGGTACACCGATGATGACCAAATTACTGTCATCTTAGATAACAATCACGCAGACAAATTTTGAGTCATACAAAAGAATTACATTTATTTATTTCAACCACTCAGTAGTGGATAAACTACCTCAGGATGTTATCAATATGATTTTTCTGATCTATTTTATGCCTTTTATGTTTTTAAGTGATGCATAGTTTAAAAACATCAATTGTATAGTTTTTAATGCATATTGTTTTAAGTAATAGAGTTATGTAAGCAGCTACGTAATAGCTGTGTTTACTTCTATGTTACACCATAAGCTTTCCAAAAACATTGAACAACAACATCAGGTGTACAAGTAATATGTAATTTACTTTGAAATAAATGTCATTAGCAACTTACTTAACTCATCATTAAATGGGGGATTGATTTACTGAAAATAGATCATTATAATTAGAAAAAGTAAATTCATATACGATTCAACGGCTATCTCCTTTCAGTTTTCCAACATCACCATCAGTCTCCTGGTCAGTAATCAAAAGTTCCTTTAGTTTTGCACCAACACCTAAAAATTCTTACACTGGCAATGACAATGTATATGAAAAAATGTAATACACATACGAAATTTTGTGTAGTAACAAAATTTCTATTAAATCTGCTGTCTACCAAAATTTAAATATCTGGAATAATAAGAGCTTATTAAAATTTACAATACTTTTAATCAATCCAATGAAAAAAACAGTTTTATGAGCTTATACTGTATTTGTCAAGAACTTGTCAAAAACCTTGGACAACTGCAACACTTTAAAGCAACAATAAACATAAAAATTACTGACCTCAACGTTAGTGGAATTTAGTTTTTCTTCCATCACTTGTTTTAGGATTTTCAGAGCCGTCTTGATAGCTTCTTCTAAGGTCATAGACTGTAGAGCACAAAAAAGATTTTTTACAGTCAAAAATATATATAAATCACAAAATTTAAATAGCAGAAACACATCCGAGCAGGACAGATGTGTCACTTTTCTTGAGAGAATGTATAGAGTATAATAAGATATCCAGAGAATATTTCATGTCATGTATTAGCATTTATATGAACCTGAAATTCCTTGCTGTCGAAGGCATAATATGCATTTATTTTAAACTGCAAAATACTATTAAATGAAGTTTATATCTTGTTTTGAAATTACTGACATAGTTTAATATCAAACTGTGAAAGCACATTCCTATTAATATATATAAAATAATGATGTATATCTCCAGAACATATCTTTATTAGCTCAATATTTCACTACAATAGCTTCATCAAGAGCTGCTAATAAGCTACAAGTTTCCTAATCCAGTTTTAAAACTAAATGTTAGCACTACAGGTCATTATTTTATTTACATTAAGAGAAATGTCTGGTAATGAACTCTAGTTTGCATTAAACAAAGTTAAGAATACTATGAAAGCACATCATTAGCTTTACATAAATCTACAATGACATTAATTTATTGGACATTTTTTTCAATATAGTTAACAGTTTCTGGTCACTAATTCCAATTATGCTTTTAGTTACACTATCAGTTTGAATAAAAAACACTCAACTGGTAGAACACAATATTCTATAAAACTGTCAGGTTGAATAAAGAAACATTCAACTGATAGAATACAATATTCTATAAAACTGTCAGGTTGATTAATGAAACATTCAACTGGTAGAATACAATATTCTATAAAACTGTCAGGCTGAATAAAGAAACATTTAACTGATAGAATACAATATTCTATAAAACTGTCAGGTTGAATAAAGAAACATTCAACTGGTAGAATATAATACTCAATACAATTCCACTTTAGACAACACACTTCTTTCAAACATGTTTGTCTTTGTTGTTCTGTTTTACTGAATTTTTATTGAAATACACTGTTAAGATTTATTTTGCAATATATAATTCCCCAAAAAGTCCATTTTATCACAATACCTATCTTTGCTTTAGATGAGTAAATCTGTACACCCTGCTTACAGCCCAATTGTAAGAGTATCGCCACATGCCTATATTATTTATAGAAGTTCTTTGTTGCACTTACTTCATTCTCTAGCACAATTTGAGAAACAACTGCATTTCATATTTTTATTAGTTATTTACAAGCTGCAAACTGTCTTTACTATTGTCATTTTTAATTTATTTATTTTTCACAAACTAAAATTTTAAGGATCCGTCTATTCTATTCAACCATCACTAGGATTGTACTTAAGATTTAAATTTTATTATTTTAAAGAATTTCTATAATATATAGGTATTTCTTAGGAAAAATTGAAATTTCATTTGACAAGACTGTAGATTTTTTTTTACATGGTTTATTTCACATAAATACCCGAGTGTTACTAACAAATCCACATAAATATCAAAATTACCCTTGAACTTTAGGATCATTCTAACAATAAGTAAACTTTTGAAGTTTAAAAAGTAACTAACCACATCTATGTGGAGACTCACGATTAAAATATTTCCAAATGTTCAATAAGAAGCTATTTTTAAGTGCCTAAAAAAATCTATCTAATTTTGATGTGATTCGCTGTCTTTTTTTAATGATTTTTGTTTTATTTTACTGAACATAACAGGGACCTTACATATATATGTGAATTTTTTCTCTCACCAAAACGTGAATTTCAGTGAAGGAAAAATAATGTAGAAACCTAATTTTTGATTTACAAAAGATTACTTTTTTCAGAATTCATGGCTCATCAGTGCTGCTTTGAAAAGCAAATAAAGTAGACCTCATATAATGGTGGAATGTGAAATATTTGTTTGGTTTTGATGTTTAAGTCCTTTACTTGCCACTAATAACCTAATGTGAGAGGTACTAACACAATTAATTATCAGTCATTATTCTGTAGATTAACTGGTTACTTGTTGGTTTTTTTTTTTGTGAATTTCTTTTACTCACGAAAATGTGAATTTAAGTGAAGAAAAAATAATAATGTACTAGTAAGGTTGACAATTGATATAGTCTATAACTGTTATAACATACCTCAATTTAACAGCTTTCTCTTTTCGATTAGGTTATCTTATATCAGAATATAATAAGCTCAGAAGTTTTCACAATTTTACTTAGGTGCTGGTGGGTGAGTAGGAGACTAACGATAAGTAATGAAGACTTAAATACTGAGTTTGCTATAAATTACACTGTAAATTGTTGTGGGTTTCTCTTTCTTTTGCAGGTTAACAATGATCCCTCATAATCTAACAACTTCTTGGCCCGAAAATAAAATAAATTTTGCTGCTTTTGTATCATGCTTTTTCAGACATTCAAAATTCTGTATAAATTATTTAAAGCAATACCTTGTGATATTCTTCCTGCAAAGCTTGTTGGGCCCCTTCAGAACCAGAGCCAATAGCCTTAGCACCGTATTGGACATAGGTACCAGATGGATCCATGTGATAACTGCAAGAGTAGATAGAAACTGCATCGACCAGCAAACATAGTGTGAAATATGTCTGACATCTAAATAAGATTCTCAACATTAATGTTGAGAAATTTCAACAATAAAAGTTAGTACTCTGGCTCATAGTATTAAGACATCAACAAATATCTTCAGTATCTCTTGCTATGACAGTCTAGCTGCAATTTCTTTCTGACACAGTGCTTCTATAAGATTGATATAGTTAGAAAATAAAATAACAAGAATCAATAAACTTACAGTTGGGGACCTCTCTCATCAACTCCAGCAAACAGGATTGCTACTCCAAATGGCCGGCTCTAAGTTTATAGTACAAAAAAAATGTTAAATTTATATACACTTAAACTCTAACAAATAGTTATCTTGATAAACTGTATATTATAAAATAGCATATAAAACACAGTTATATGCATGAATATTTTTGAAAGTACAATAAATATCGAACAAATGACCCTAAAAGCTTGGGTCCTTCCAAAGAATGGTCCCTTCTTTGTCAGGAGATTTTAAAAAGCAAACTGAGATTCTTTGCCATTTTTGGACTTTTCTGATCACCATACAATGATCCATGGTGGTGATCTTACTTAAAAATGACTAGAGTCTTAGATATTCTGATAATGGAAAATATATCTCTAGTATGTAACATGCCAGTGTTGTATTTTTCTTGCTTTAGATTCACAAATGTGGGAAATCTCAATGAAGTGACTTGGTGTTTAATACTGCATGGTGATAAAAATATATTATCAAAAGACTTGCATTACAATGGGAAAATGTTTACATTGCATAAGGTGACATTTTTTACAGACATCTGAAGTGTTCTCCATTCAAAGTGGTTAAACTAAGTTTCACACATTATTGTTAGTTATTTCAACTTAAAAAAAGTAAACAAAACAGTATTTCATGTGTTACTTTTCATATGCTTTATACTTACTTTGTATTCATGTACAAAAAAAACGCAAAAGCTAATGATACACCTGATAACATAAAATATTCAAAAAGATACTTCTCAGCCTCATGGTATTAGCATACTAGCTGTAAAATACAATATTGATAAAATAGTGTTGTAATATACTTAGCAAGTATAATAAAAACATCAATGTATATTATCTTAACAATGTGACTAACAATCTATATTATAAAACAATTTTCAATTAAGTAATGTGGGCTAGTAATAAAAAAAAGATCTATTTTCTGTAGAATTTAAGCATCAAACATTTGAAGTAATGTAACTCAAACGTCAAAGTGCTATATTTTTGGGGGCTTAAGAGACATTTACGATAATTAACATTATTTGTATAAAGGAAAGTTATGGTCCAACAAGTTATATATATACACACACACAAAGAAATGTTTGTACACATAATTTTATTTAACAATTCACTTGTGAGACAAACCATAGCAATCCCATCATCATCACTGTCACCAAACCGAATAGCAAGGTTGGAAACTGCCTGAGCCACACTCTCAACTTGCATTTTCTCATTGTACAAAAACCAGTGATTCTGCAAAGATGAAAACAATTCTAAAAATGACGGCAAATGTTACTGTCAATTATAAATCATTAAGAAAACAGGGTCAATATTTAATATTAGCACACTGCACATTTTAATGGGAAAAAATCTTTGTTTAAAGAAAGTGGTGTTTTTTTTCTCAATATAATAGCTTTGGTTTTTATTATATTCTTGGAAGATAACTTTTGTTTACAAGTTGTTTGTTTCATAGATTCAACATAACATTCACAAAGCTGCCTTATGGGAAGAGATAAGATTTAGGTATTTTAATTTCTATTAATGGAATCTCTCTTAATCTCACGTGATTGTAATAAGTCAAAATACAGACATGCTAACCACTAAGCCATGCCAGGCTCAACTGTATGTGAACCTCAGACAAACCACTATAGAAACAAAGATAAAAGGGAACAAGGTTACACCACATTAATAAAAGCAAATAAAATTTGTATCAACACAGTCCTAGTATGTTTTGGAAGCCTCAGATGAGGTCAAACTGAAGTTACAAAAGTGTTAATAAATTGATTAACACAGACCTAAACAAACTTCGTTAACTTGTTTTTGGGTGAATATGGAAATGTTAAGCTGATAGTTAGTAACAAAATGACCCTGGATCAAGTGAAGTTTTTTCATCTCATTTCTGATTACAGCTTTCAAATAATTCTCCAACAAATATTTCTGCTTCATATCACTACTGTACTAAGCCTAACATTCTATTCTAGTTACACCTTTTTACAGTAATTTCTAAGAGGTGTGCTAAGGGCACAAGCTTTTTAAATAAAAATGGGGAGGGATCTAAACTAAATTTTAACCTCACCAATCAGACAATCTGTACGAGTCAATTAAAAGGATGAAAGTATTTTCTGCAAAAAAGAAATAAGTTCTTATACATGAATATAACAAGTAGCACTGTGTTGTTCCTAAGAAAAACATACTTCTACTACTTCAAAATGTTGTTAATACCAGAAGAATATGGAACCTACGTGCATAAAAAAGCCATGAGAATTTTACAGAAGTATGAATTAACATGTGATGAATTTGTAGCAAACATTTAAAAAAAAGAAAAAAAAAGCTTTTTCTTCTTGAAGTACAGGTTATTGTATTATTCTGTTACACGCAATTTAATCCTTCAGAATTTGACAATCTGAGATGCACATATCAAAAATCATTACATTGTGACATTTCCTATCTCTTTGCATACAGAATCTTTAAAACATTCTTAGAATAAAAGCTCAGCAGGTAAAAGAATGTAATCACAAATTATGTGACATTATATTTTAGAAAAAATTATAAACTTGTTAACACAATAATTACTACTGATAACAAAATTTCCTAGAAAGTATACAGCAACATTCATGAGCTGTTTTACTGTCAAGTAGTGTGAAAGATGTTTCTAGAATATCCAACCACAAAACAAGTTCACTATTCCCCTTAGAAACCAGCTTAGCTATAATCAGTGTATTTTAGATGCATGGGAACTGACCAGTTTAAATTACTGTGAGTGTCTAATACTTAATGTTTTTTCTTTTAAGAATTATATTTTGTCATTTTAAAATGAAAGAGTTTATATCATTGGAACAAATACTCGAAACATCAGAAAAATCTAATTCACTGTATAATGCAGTTTAAACTTATAACAAATCACTTACTTACTGCCAAAAGTATAAATTTTAGTACCTGAGCTTCAACTCGTGCCTTATCAACCATTGTTCTAGAATCAGCCATGAGTCCACTTACAGCACAGCCTAAGAATACTCAGATTGTCAGTTCATGTTTCAATAATTAAAACATTCACAATAACTTTCAAGAAATTTAACATTTATCTTATAATTATAAATAAATTAACATTATTAAAGCTGATTTAGAAAATTCTGATAATTGTTCATATTGGAATGACTGGTTAATTCAATTACTTTTATCATGTGGTGGTCGAAACTATACTACACTAACAATCAATAGTGACTGACTTTTATCGTTACTGGCATAATTATAAAGATAACTCAAGTGCGTTAATCATGTTTTTTTAGTTTTATTTCATTTTTATTTATGCTAGACTATAGATGAGCTTTTTGTTTTTATTCAGGAAATTACTAATTAACTAATTCTAGATTAAAAAATTGTACCAAAATTCTTAACATTAAATAAACAGAATATCATACTAGATAAAATTACAAATAAAGTATCAGCAAAGGTTTAAAATAATAGTAACATGGTGAAATGTTACACAAACAATTTAAAATTCTTTGTAATGCTAAACATGATAGGTATCTTATGAATGTGTAAATATAATTTTTCTCTGATATTAACTGAATTGCCAACATAGAAAAATATTACTTCAAAATTAGTCACAATTTTTCAGAACTCTATTACCATAGTGCTTTAGAATGACAATTAACCACATGCATAGATCAAAGAGCACCAAGGTTAAAATCAAAGTTCATCTGTGTGTTTTTCTGTAAACAAAAATATAATGACATGAAAATTAAAAATCAAAGCATGGTACAAGTTACAAACGTTTTCTTAAAACACAAATTAAATTTATGATCATGCACTATATACCAAATACTGCATGATGTGTAGTATATTCAGCTTTTCTATGATGCAACGTATTACTTGCATTATCTGCAAGTTTCTTAAAAAACAGTCAAGACTCCTGTAAACCACACTGAAAGCCAACATACAGCTGGACTTAACTCCCTGTATTTTACGACAAGGAACCCACTTTGAGACTTATAAAATTTAGAGACAGCTTGAATGGGTAATGAAGAAAACATTATTACAAGTTTAACACAGTAACAGATGAAGAAAATTTCAATGTGTTTTTGTCATCATCAGATACATTTGTTACTGTGTTAAACTTGTAATAAAGTTTTCTTCATTATCCATTCAAGCCATCTCCAAACTTTACAACTCCTTGTATTTATAGGAGTGTGAACAAGGCCCAATCTTTAATGATGGTACAATTTAGTTTACAATTATCCCGTGACAAAGTTTAATATTGATTTCTTCTTCAGCTCATCTTGATGTACATTTTGGAAGTTGAAACAACATTTTAACACTCATAGTTCTCCCATGATAAAGAAAGATTTACCACAAATACTCTAGTTATTCAGTCTTTCAAATCACAAATGGCTCTAGAGTCATCAAAGTAAAGGCTAGAAATTATAGTACACTGGAGCCTCGCCAAAACAAGGTCTGCCATAGCGAGGACCTCTTTATAATGCATGGGTTTGTCTTGGACCCCAAAATTTTCCTTTAAATTTATCTTTCTATGTAACTGGCTTGAAAGGACCTTGTTATAACATGGTCTCCTGATATGGACCCCATGGTCTGTGTTATAGTGGGGCCCCAGCTTATAAGCATTTGTGTTGTGTTATCATTATTCTAAGATAATCTGTGACAGATGTTATTGTAAAGAAAACTCAATAAGAAGTAAAACCAAAACCTATATGGCTGTCAATCTCAACTGTCTTTTCAATTGTCGTCGATTCCATTAATGTTGAGGTAACTCGTTTTTCTACAGCAAGCATTACACCTTCCGATGTTTGAATGCCAATGGCAGTAGATCCCAGCTATCAATAAAATATTTAAACTTGTTTTAAAATATAAAATACAATATTACAATGCAAAAGACTGCAAACTTCAAAACATCATACAATTATCAACTTCTTATGAGTATATCAAATAAAATCATATGAACTGTGAATCAATCACAAACTGAACATTAAAGACTAAAAACATGAGTTATAGAGGCAGAGACTAACACAGGTTATAGAATCCTTTCAGACACAACACAACATACCAACATAGGTCACATCACTATTACTACCTGCATTATGTCAGTGTGAATGAAATTCTTGGAGGCACAATACCAGTTGCATGGAATTAAAATACGTAATAAAATAGAAAAACAGTGTACTGCTAAACAAAACAAATATGATTATTACTGCAAAATGAATTTTCTTTTTCAGAAATATATAAAATAGTTTTTTGCTTGTTATAAAACATAAGCTGTCAATCTACCCAACAAGTCTGACAGGAAAGAATTGTATGTATGCATTCTATAAGCTCATATGAACATTTGAATGATTTATATGGATGTTGAATACTTTTCAAATTTAAATGTACTTCCTTGCCATTCTGTGTTATTTCGAACCAATGCTTCATTACCGATAGTAACATTTGAAGAGAAACTAAATAATTTAAATTTGTTTTCTTTGGAGTACAGAAGAGGCTATTTAATTCAGGTTGGGAGCTGGCATGGATAAACTGCCCATAAGAGGTTTGATGGAGGCATGAAAGGATACAGTTGAAGATGAAATTCTAAATATTAGAGGAAATAAGTACAAGTCATGGATGACAAGGTTCAGACTAGTTATTAAGCATAAATGCTATTAGACTTATAAACTGATGTAATTGTTTGCCAGATGATGTGATGTGTAGAGCTGGGTGATTAATTTGATTAACCAACATAATCAATTATCTATGAAAACTGATTAGTCTAAAGTAAAATAATTCATTAATCAAAATTATTGTTAGACCAATTAATGTCACAAAAATCATGAACTAATCAAAATTAGTGTTTCTGATTATTCCAACTATCCAATTAATCAAAATATTGCCATTAATTTATCATTTTTGACTAAATCAAGGTTGTTCAGCTTAAACTGATTTGTCACAAAAATAATTAAATAATAAAAATTAGTGTATACAATCATTAATATTTTCGATTATTCAAACTATTGCGGTCTCATGTGAGAATAATTAATTAATTTAATGTAATCAATTAATAAACCTGATGACTAATCAATTAGCAAATTCCACTGATCACCCAGCTCTAGTGGTAGATGCTACAGTTTGAATTTCTTCAAGCTTTTGTTAGATAATATTATTGTTGTGAGGGGTTATATTAAGGTTAAGCTGGTTTCTTTTAGGTGATCATAATTGGATTCTGTGACCTAGTCTTATGTTGACTGATGCATCATGAAAAGAAAACCAGTCCTCAGGCACTTGATCTTTTGGGCATTTTTCAGACTTTTTGTCACAGTTTTTTTTAGTGACCCATCATTTAAAAAAAAAAAGAGTAAAGTGTAGTCTTGTCTTGGGCAAATTAAGTAAGCATCAAAGCAAAATCCAGAATGTCATCTGCAAACTATACCAGACTTGGCCAGATTGGGGTGTAATAATCTGCACAAATAAGATTTAAAACCTTTTGCTTAGTTCTTGGCTGAGGTAAAAAAAAAGTTGATACTTGGGTGTTAGTTGTCGAGCTTTTAATTTTAACAGTAAGATGTTATTATTTTTGAATAAAATTCTTGAATTCAGTTTTGGTCTCAAGACTATAGAAAAGGATATTGATTCATTGAAATGTTAGCTCAGGGAAAAGTTAATAAAAAAAAATGTGATGGGTGACCTTGTTGAAATTTACATGGTTATCTGAGGGACTGATAGGATAAAGGCTTATGATTTCCTTGTGCTGTATTCTAAAGACTATATGACAAAAGAATACAAATTTAAAATTTGGAAAAGGTAGGCTACGCTAGTTGTTTTTTTTCATACAGGGTGACTGGCATAAGAAACAAGTTGCCATCAGCAACCTTCAGACTTACTGCTTAGCCACTGGAGGACAGCAGCAGTGGAAGCCAGTACTTTATAAGTGTTTAAAAGGAGAATCAATAATTTCTTTACAAATAAAAGGTGGGTTTTATGTTTCTCAAGGGTGAATGTGCAAGGATAGCCTTGAAATACCAAGTAGTCCATTTTTGTCTGCATGTTATAACAGACCACCTTTAATCTGAATTTGTGGAATGGACTATTTAATGAAGTGCAATGTATGATAAACTTAGGTTTTTCAGTTTGGTTAGATGAATTGGTAGAAATACAATAATTAACTAACCTTAATTGCTTCAATGGCATACTCCACTTGAAAAAGCCTTCCTTCCGGGGAGAATGTATTTACTCCACGGTCATATTCTGATCTTGTTAAAAACATTCTTCTCAACTGATCTCAATATGTGAAGAAAACCTATAGTTTCTTTAACTATTTATAAAAATTAAAAAGAAAATTCTTTATTGAAAGGATACAGTGAAGTATAAAATGGTCTCAACCTAGACAATTTAATTCAATAAAGACATATTTTCATTTACAATCATGTAGAAAAATAGTTTTAATCATTAACTATTTTGAAATTAATACTGAGTTGAAAATTAACTATTAAGGTTTCTACGATTATTCATTTCTTAAAGTATAAATGTCTGAATACAAAAAGAAAATGTTAGAAACTGTTATTTAAATGTTACAAATTTCAGTACTAAACTCTGAAAACCTACATGCAAAATTAATCATATATTGGTTTTTTTATGATTAAAACCTGGTGAAACAGTTTGCGCAATGATGTAGTGCTGATTTATCATAAAATTTTCCTGGATAGGTATGGATGACTAGAGCTAGATTTAATTTGGATTAATAAAAAAAAGCAACTGATGACAGATGGCCTCAATGGACAAATGGCTTTCACTTGGCTTTTCTTGTATATTTATTTTCAATTATCCTACATAAAGTAAAAACTTTTTTCACTTTTCTTTCAGAAACTTCAACAAAAACACACTTAACATCTTTGCTAATTTCAATTATATAACTTGACTTGTAAAGTTTTAGCCAATTTTTCACAAACAAAATCACCCCTTTCTCCCTCTCATTTTTAAAATCCTTATGGAACCCTTAAAAACCTTTTAAAATAACATCTTCAAGATTTTCATTTAACCAATACTCATCGTTTGTTTGTTGTTAATCACAAAGTTACACAATGGGCTATCTAAGCTTGGCCCACCAGCAGTAATGAAACCTGATTTTAAGTGTGTTATAAAATTCCAGATACACCACTGAGTGACTGGAAGTCAATACACAGTAATAACAATGACATACAATGTAATAACAGCAACCCAACCTTTAATTCTAGAAATATGTTAAACAGGTTTTTGAAGAAACTAAGCTTATCTTTTTTATTAATATAACAACCTATAAGTAAGGGTACCAATTAAGTATGGCAGGAGAGAACAGTAACTCCCCATACTAAATATAATTTATATTGGGAAAAGTAGGTTTATATAAAAAGGTGCTTTTTGCTTCTTGAATGGTTGTTGAATTATATAGGGAAAAATCACAGCAAATGCTCCAATAATACTTACTTTTACCTCAATCTAACCTTTAAATAAAATCTATGATCATCCAGCCAGCCCAACTACCAATAAAATCCCCGCCACCACCCCACTGAAATCCGAAATGGTGCTCATGTCTATAAACTTCATATTTTATAATGCAATACTTCAGGGTTTAAAAGTTTCCAACACTTCTTTCTACCTTACTTTAAATAATACAATCACTTAGAGCTTCTCCAAAGAAATTATTTTCACCAAGAGCTATTTTCATGAAGAACCTTTGCTGTTTATACATCATAAGTAACTACTCTATTATTTTTTTAAAATCTACATAATTTAAGTCACTTTGTATGAGACAGTTCCCTGTTGTTTTAGATGTTTGCTATGTTATGCAAATTATTTTCATACAGTGAGAAGCTTTAAAAGTTTATTTTTCATACAGAATTTGTTTCCAGTGTACTTTTGCTGATTACTTACATTTCTGAATGTTTTTAAGTTTTCAACCAGAGACCAGAATAGAAGCAATCTATAGAAAACTTGATCATATTACTGAATGAACAGACTTTTATCAGTAGTACACACTACTTTACTAGTTACATGTAATGGTGTTCTTAAGTAAAATGTATATTACTATAAAATAAGAACCAACACTGTATGATGTATTCTTTGTAAAACTGTATGCATCATCTACACAGCAAATTATTTTTAGTTTACATGTCAGAAAGGTCTAAATCCACAAGGAGGTTAAATATCTTTCTCTCTCTCTCTTTCTATCTTTTTCCTGCTGATAAATTCCTAATAAACGTAGTAATTTGAGTCTGAAAAGGAAGTTTGTTTTTTTTTCTTGTAAAACTGCATATAAGGAACAAACCTGAAACTGGGTTGATGGCTAAGGATCTAGTCTAACCAATAATTCAACATCAAATTCAAAATAATAATTTCACAACCCAAGAGTTTGTTGGTGGCCAAATTGTAAATTAAACCTGTTTCACAGTTCAACATTAGCTATTATCTGTACTAATTTCTACGTCTACTACTACTAGCACTTCCAGTAATGAGTAGTAGTATGACTATGAGAATGAATCAATGATCTAGTTCTAAATTCGTTACTACTTTTATTAGTAATCACATTAATATATCGTTAATAATAATAGCAATTTAAAATGTGTCTAAAAGATTTGGTGATAACATAAAGTTACAGCACTAAATAACAATTAATGTTAGTTACAATATAATATATATAAAAAATCCAACCACCTAATGATCCAGTATACCTTTTTCAACAGTGTGTGATATGTATAATACATACACAGATAAGCAGTTTTCAACTCACAAAAACAACCTCAGCGCCATCTCGTGTTTATAATTAGGCCTTATTAACACTCAAAAACAAAATTGCATTGTCGTTTTAAAACAGAAAGGTCAACGTGATTCACACGAAAAATATTATTTTAATGATTAATATTCTAAGATCATTTTAAATATTTTAAATTTCACCATCTAAAAGACTATAATAACCATACGGCATTATTCTAAAACTTAAGTAACATTTTTATGTTGATATTACTTGATTGAATATACCAACTGACAATTGATAAGTGTTAGTCATCAAAGTATATAAAACGATAAGCAAAACAAGGAGCTTGGCTCAAACCAGTAGGCACACAAAGAATGTTAAATTGGCTCTATCACGAAATAGTTATGGACTGGAATGAAATATCGTGCAAATATTAAAGCATCTTTTAGATCGAATGATGTTGAACACGCCTTAGGTAAGTGTAATGGAGCGTAGTTCGGTAAAAGAATATTGTTACACCTCCGTTCGTTAGTTAATTTTCTGTATAATTTCTTTCCGAAGAAACTTTAGCGATACAAGTCCTTTCTTAAATAAAACTGGTTTATTCTTTCTAAATACAACTTTGCAATACACTTAATTTCCACAATCACGCTATAACAAACGCTATAATTCACAACGAACGTCTCACGTGCTCGACTCAACAATACGTCTCTCTGTCAGCAGTTCAATTACACATTACATTGTTACCGTCACGTCTTGACCGTCTTATATATAAAAGACTACAGCATATCTAGTAGGCTCTCGAGATTTCAGGATTCTCATAGATTCTGCGTCTCAGCAAACCCTTGTGAGCATCAAGGTGTTAGATCATGAAGGAGTACCAGAAGCCATACAGAATCTTTGTGGTGTGACAGGACATTCTGCAAGGTTGTGGAGACCAGTTTGGGTAACTACTGAGCTCATGGGCATAAAGGATAGACAGAAAGTATACTTGGCTGACATTAAAGACGAATGCATATTAGGGTTGGACTACTTACTACCGAGGAAGTTTGTAATTGATTTTTATAAAATGACGTTTGGGAACAACAAAGGCCAAGTTCCGGTAACTGTTAAAAGAGAGGTTGAACTAATTAGGTGCCAGAACAGGAGAAAGACCAAAATTTGAAGCCTATAATTGATTTCCTATAAAACAAGTGTTTTGCGCCCTGCTTGGGAGAAGGTATCTAGTCTAAGTCCTGTAACAAAGAACTATTGGGCGCAATGGGACCAGTTAAAACTTGAAGATGGTATTCTTGTACGGAGAT